ACTATTCTATTCTCAGAAAAGTGTAATTCATCAAGTGTTCATTTATGAGAGGGAGCGAGAGAGGCTGTGTATGTATGAATTACCACCGTTTTGCCGCATTTCTCTAACTGTGAAGCTGTGGCTTTAATTCCATTAGAAACAATGATGTTTCCAGCTTCTTGCTGAGAAAGATAATGTAGCTCTTAAGCGATTAAGCTATTTAGTTGATAAAATTGCAAGGCAGGCGGCAGAGCTAAAAAGTTTGTTCTTGAATGTCTTGAGTGCGGCCGCAACGTGATCTGTGTGAGTGGCTGAGCGTGTGTGCGTTAGATACAGAAGACAGCGCATTAGTTTAGAACTCTTCTAATTTTTAGTTTTTTAAATGTAGAGAGTGTTAATTTGTGCTATGATAACCTACCAGCAATGTAAATATGATTTTTTAATATATTAGAATGAGTACATTACAATATAAATTTATTAGAAAGAGTACATTATTATTTATGGGCTTAAAAACAAGATGCAAACAATCAGAATATTGTACCTGGTGGGGAGTGCACAATATAAACATGAAACATATTCCATTACCTATATTGTACTGTGGTACAGTTATGGAGGCCCTTCATAATGCAGAGGTCAACTGCCTGCTCTGCCAATAGTTAGCAATGGCCCTATAGTATGTAGTGTTTAATAAACCAGCTGTTTTACTAAACTCTTCTGAGGTGAAATTCAATGCAGTCCCGTATCGTGATACGTATCGTATCGTGACTTTGCTGGTGATACACAGCCCTAGTGCTTGTTAGCTTTTAATATACGGTTTTATCCTGATTAAAGCTTTAGTATAGTACGGCAACTGCACGCACATCCATGTTTAACGCTTCTCATAGCTATGTGAAAAGTGTATAATTGGAACAGTTAATTGTTATAGCTAAGCTGAATGAGAGCGAGAGAGATGCAGAGCGTGTGCAGAGCAGGGGACGTGAGGAACAGTATTAAGAACCGTTGCTTTAGAACATTGATTTTGAAACTTGTGAATCCATTAGAATCGTTAGAAGACAGAATCGTGATTCATATATGAACAGATTTTTACGTGCACCTAGTTTTCTCTTCCTCTTCTCTAAAGCAGCACAGCATGGCCTCGCCCCCTTAGCTGCCTTTTCCCGAGGGCGGGGTTTATCTGGGTTTGTTACATCACGAACCTGGGAAGTAACTTGTTTCAGCTTCGTAACTTTGCAGATATTTTTTATGCTCAAACAGCAACTTTACACACTAACTAACGTTAAAAATATGAAATCGCAATCATCCACCCCTTTAAAACCGAAACCAATGCAAAGGTTTTTTTTGAAAGCCATGCAAAGTTAAGAGTTTAAACCAGGGGTGCCCAAACTCGGTCCTGGAGGGCCGGTGTGCTGCAGAGTTTAGCTCCAACCCTAATCAAACACACCTGGAGCAGCTAATCAAGGTCTTACTAGGCATACTAGAAACTTCCCGGCAGGTGTGTTGAGGCAAGCTGGAGCTAAACTCTGCAGGACACCGGCCCTCCAGGACCGAGTTTGGGCACCCCTGTTTTAAACCTTTAGAAAATATGTTGTGAATTTGTGGAGGTTTATTCCATTTCACTGCGTCATGTTTTTAAATGCAATTTTTGTATTGAGCAATGCATAAATAGATGATACTGTTTTGTTCATAATTGTTTATGCAATTTTACGGAATTATATTTGATTTGTTAATTTAGACGTTATGCACATTTTTATAGACCGTTATTTCATTGCATTGACAATTTAATGCGCTGCATTATTTTGCTCATTGCACCCTCCTGTGGCCTCAGGAGACAAGCCAAAAGTTTCTTTAAGACGTATTTAATCTGAATAAACAAAGACGATATTTGTTTAAAAAAAAAAATTTCTGTTTGACTGTTAAAACAAAAAATTATTTGTTGTTTGTCTTAATTTGGATAAATTAAAAATACAGTGGTTAAATTGAAACTTTTTTTATTGCACTGTTTTAAAAAAGGTAAAAAAAAGTCAATAGTTATCAATACTATATGAAACATTATATAATTGATACATTTTTTTTTTAGCTAAATCGCCCAGCCCTAGTTCCAATACACTTAAAATTCTTTTTTTTTACTTCTACAAGGAGCAGTGCTCAATATTGATTAGTGCTCAAATTCACTAAAATAGTATTTGAGCCTGAAAGCAAAAACTTCCTTTCCTACACATGATATGCTCTGAATTGCAAATTTTCACATTCAAGTTTCTACATTCTTATGACAGTAGTATGAGCACAGTTTAGATGCATGAATCCACTAGAGGGCAGTAATTGCTTTAGTTGCTGTGTGGCTTCAAAGGTGCTAGCTAATATGTGGATTTCTCTCTTTCCAGAGCCTCAGGCTCACGATCACGCAGCAGGTCAACCAGCAAGAAGGCAAAGGGCAGGAGCAGTAGGATGGAGGAGAGCAGTAATGGAGCTCGCAGGGGAGGTGAAAGCGCTAGGGATAATAGCACGAGCTTAAGCCCCCCGAGCAAAAAGAGCAAACGGGAGAACAAGAGGGCTCGCTCCTCTTCTCGATCCAGGTCCCGGTCCAGATCTCGATCCAAATCGGAGAACGACAAGGATTTCTCCCGAGAGTCTGGGTCCAAATCTCAGGAGGCAAACAAGAGCAGCGATGAAGGCCGGGCGACTGAAAGGCCGCACCGCTCTAAAGCTCATTCTCGATCCAGATCTCAAACGCCACCAGATGCTGATCTGCGGAGGGAATCCAGATCCAGATCCAAATCTCGCTCGCATTCACGCTCGCGGTCTTATTCCCGATCTCGATCCCGCTCAAGGTCACGTTCTTAAGTTTAAAGAAAAAGATACAAAATTTCTGATTGGCATTTTTTTTTTCTTGTTTTCCAGTCTAACTAAACATCTTTAAAACAAGAATATATCTTGTTTTGTTTGTTTTTTTTACCCCACTGACAATTTTTGTCACTAAATGGTTAGATTTGTGCTATAAAAAAATGACAATTTGTGGTTGAGGTAAGAAAATAATCTGAATTCAAGATATATTATCTGAAAACAAATCTGAATGTTACTTTTTTGTGAAAAGCAAAACGGTGCATCTTGTTTTTAAATATTTTTCTTGAAAATGACAAAAATAGACTGAAATTTGTCTAAATGTGTCTAAATGTTGTTCTGCCCTACGGTTCTCTTCTTTGAAGCAAACTGCATTTTTTTTTTTTCCTTTTTTCCTTTTTTGTCAAATAGGTAGTTTTAGGGAAATTGCTTGCGTATTCACATTTCAGTATTTACTGGTATTGTTAACCTTATGCATCATTTTTAGTTGTTTTTATTTTAAAATTGCTTGCAATATATTTTATTCATAAAATTAAACCAACAGTAGATGTCCTTGCCTTCGCATTGTATATTTAGAAATGTACCATAGTTGTTGTTGAGCTGGGGCAGAGTTTATGGTCTTTTTACAACAACGTTCTCCATACAAAAATAATAAAAAACCACTGCCTCACAATACTGTGTCCATTCAGTTCATTTACAAAGGTGTTTTGTGGTGGGTTTACCAGTATTGCAGAATCAAATGTATAAAAACTATTTAAAGGTGGGGTAAGTGATTTCTGGTAGCCAATGTTGATATTTGAAATCACTAAAACACGCCCCTACCCCAAAAGGGTCTTGCCTCTATTCTGATAGCTCCGCCCCACATATACGTACGCAACCCAGGCAACAATTAGTTCTGTGAAACAAAGTAAAACCAATGTTACACCGTGTCTACGGACGTGAGTGGCGCGGCGCAACAAATCCCCGACAGAAAACTGCTGCCGGGTTCTATTTATGACGTGCTGACACACATTTCAAATGGTTTTCAACGTCGTTTGATTGCGTCCAGTGTAGGCAGACTTTAGCTGTTGTAGACACAGTGTTACTCAGCTATCGAGAAGAAACAAAGCAACCCCGGCGTCCGATCGCAGGCATCCGCTCCTTGAGTTCTCTCCAGCGCTGGAAAGCTGATCCGATATTTACACGGGTCCTACTTCTTGCCTTATCGTTCCGCAGACGTTTTCCTCTTTTGGTTTTTTATCCGCCGTCTCTATCTTTCTGTCGCTCGGCTCAGCTAATATCCGTCCTGTGCACTGAACTCTCTCTCCTCCACATCACGAGTAGACACGCCCCTTACTGCTGATTGGCTACAAGTTTGTTTTGTGATTCGGCCCGAATCCGTTTTCTAAAGCGTTTTTGAAAAATCACATACCCTGCCTTTTAAAGGAAATTTACTAATTTCATTCCAAACCAGTGTGAATATGGGAAAAAAAAGATGGTTTTCGACGGTGTGCTGCTATTTACCATTCAATGAAACCAAAAGCTGTCCAAACACTGAAAAGGGGGAAAAAAGACTTTAAATTCCCCACTGTCTTCTCTCTAATCTCATTCTTGCTTGAGAAGTCTAACCTGGACACCATTGACCTCAGTTAATTTTTTCAGTTAAAAATGAACTTTCCCCACGAGATGTCGCCAACAGTCAGAGATGAGGGGGAAAAAGCTGTCCGGTATCTGGTATGTCAAATATACTTGTGTGCCAGCTTTTCCATATCATTTTCCTCTTCTGTTCCCTCAATATTACATTACAATCCTATATATATATATATTAATGTCCACCAACAAGCTCGGAGAGACTTCACTCTTCAAAACCACAAAGAGTAATCTAGCCTGTTGAATGTGTGTGTAATGTGCTCTGCCTGACTGTGTGGAAAGCGAACTGAAGTCTGGCCACTCCATCGAGTCTCGGCGAAGGCGGCGCTCTCCTCAACACTTCTCTGAGGGGAGAACACGAAATGTGGGACACTGGTGAACGGACAGACGGTGACCACAGATGATGGAGCGACATTTACCTTATCTGCCTTTAGAAAGCCAGTTCTTTTAACCCTTCAGTGTCCTCTTCTGGAGAGGAAGAGCTGTCATGGGAGACGCGCGGCACTTCTCACGCGTCTGGATTGATGGAGAACCGCGAAACTTCGCAGCGGGTGAAGAACATCACGAGCACGCGTGTGCAGCGCGGTAGAACGATGGAACGCTGACTCGATACATTGTAACAAAGGCAAGTAAACGCATTCTCTAGATCTCGCCGTTTGATACATTTGTAACCAGGAACGATATCAATACAGCAACTGACTTGACCTTATTAGAGGTCGATAGATTTGTAATGTTGTTGATGGAGTCTAATCTCAAGTTTGGACGCAAATCGAGAAATGGTGCCTTTAATATAGAACTGTTTAATTCCATTTGATATACAGAGAGAGGCATATATTTATTAGAACGAATGAGTTTGAGATTGAACCCACTATTAAGGGAAAAAAGGGGTGTTTTGATGTCTTCGATCATTTTAGCACAAGCTGGTCAATCTTTGAGAAGCGTCCAGAAAAGATAATGAATTGCAACAAAATTATGGATCACATTTGGTGCATTTTTTAACATTATATATATATATATGGTGCATTATATACGTATGCACAAATGAATTGGAGATTCAGCCTTTATTAAGAAAAAAAAAAGTATTTTTTTTGTGTGTGTGATATTAGCCACAACAATGTTTCATGAGGCTTAATTACTGCAATGTCAAAAATGATTTTGAATAGACTTTTTCTCTTCATTTTACATGCAACTTGGAAATCAGTCTGTCACAATCAATTTAGACTGTACATGCATTTATGCCAATGATGGCAGGAATATTTGAGTGTGAATGCATGTGACAGTCAAGTTCAGCCCTGTCTGCAAAGAGATGACTTGGGCGCTTAAATAATAATCTGTACAAATAACCAAACAATAATTTGAAACATTCAACGCAATTTGGATTGAAAAAAGTGTTTTTTTTGTGTGTGTGATATTAGCCACAACAATGTTTCATGAGGCTTAATTACTGCAATGTCAAAAATGATTTTGAATAGACTTTTTCTCTTCATTTTACATGCAACTTGGAAATCAGTCTGTCACAATCAATTTAGACTGTACATGCATTTATGCCAATGATGGCAGGAATATTTGAGTGTGAATGCATGTGACAGTCAAGTTCAGCCCTGTCTGCAAAGAGATGACTTGGGTGCTTAAATAATAATCTGTACAAATAACCAAACAATAATTTGAAACATTCAACGCAATTTGGATTGAACGATTGATCTACATCTGCTGTTTATGTTTTATACTCTTGTATAATTAATTTCACCCATTTGGAAACCAGAGTGAACAGCCATTAAAAGTAAACCTGAACTTGGTAATGGAAAAAAGAGGTCTGGAATTCATCAGTCCAGCCTTTTGATGAATCAGTCCAAACATATGCTCCGAGATGCGTGTACTATAGATTGTTTTTCTGCGTGCATCTCATTTTACTTGTGGAGTTTGACATTTGCGTAGTTGTAAAGGAAGAAGTTCAGCCGTTTATGATGCAGTATTAATTTCAAAAGGGAATTAGTGCCAAAATTGCATATTATTTTTATTATTATTATATACAGATTTTGCCACAACCTCAGTGTTTACATTTGGTCATTAACTTTGTATTTTTAGATTACTGACATGTTGCTTACAAGTTCTATCTGATTTAAGTATTCTAGCAGAACATGCAATGCATTTCCCATGAGTTTAAACAAACCAAGTGAGTTGGCGGAATTGTAAATGACATTTTCAGAGTTGTTGAGAAACCTCTGCCAATGGAGCGTTTGTTATTCCAAAGTGAATTAGCCACATATAATTTCTCATTTATGGACTGTTGTTTTCCCCCCACATTCTTCCTCAGCCAAAAGTGGCATGGACTTTGGAGATTCTTAGTGATTCAATTTATTTTTGCCTCGGTCAATGCAATGAGCGCAAGGTTTCCCCTGCACACCTGTTTCTTCTTCAAGTTAAAATCAACAACATAAAGAAATGACCTAAAATCAACTAAGCTTGTTTAATATCTGGAGCTCCCTTTGGGAACCCAGCTGGGTACTTTATCTCTTAGTGTATTAAAGAAATATGTCATGCCTTTAAACTAATGCAACAGTTTACAAATTGTTTGAGGGACTGGTAATACTCTCACTGCAATAAAACACAGCATCATCCACTTTACTTCTAAGTATATTTAGAGCCTATACGATTTATTTAAATACAATCTATGATTTGTTTGTGGTACACCATCAGAATGGGGTTACTCTATGTCAGGGGTGCCCAATCCTGCTCCTGGCGATCAACTGTCCTGCAAAGTTCAGCTCCAACCCTAATCAAACACACCTGAAGCAACTAATTAAGGTCTTCAGGATCACTTGAAAATTAAAGGCAGGTGTGTTTGATTAGGGTTGGAGCTGAACTTTGCAGGACAGTCGATCGACAGGAGCAGGATTTGGCACTCCTGCTCTATGTATACATCTCTGAAAATCTCATGCTGCATTATGTTTCTGAAATTTTAACTAAATCTTTGATTCTTTGTGCCATTTATCTTTGATTTTCCCATCAAAGTGCAAGATGCACTGGTTCGTACATTGCCAGCCTTTTTTCTTGTTATTTGACTTAAAACTCATCCAACAGTTATGCAAATACAATTAAAGTCCACAGGCTAATCGTACATTTCGTTAAATGAGTCAAGAGCTTGACTTGTATTTAACCTGAAACATTCCTTTAATGTATTACCATGTATTAAGTGCTTTTTGCAGGCTGTAAAGTAGAAATCACTGTGCATGTTTTCTTGAATTATTTAAAACAAGACAAGCCCCTATGGATTAAATATTAATAATAGCCATTATAACAAACAAGTCTGAGTAGGACTAAAGAAAAACAAATCCCAGGACCATTAGCATTAGCATCAATGTTTACAGTAAACAAGGGGTTATAGTAGTTGTAGCACATATTTCATATTTGTTTAGGAATCTGATGCAAACATTAAGATGAGAAATGTGAATGCATTGCTGAATGATTGTCAACTCTCAACCTTAACCTTAATCTCACCTTTCCCTCTTCACCTTTTCAGACTCCCATTAGGGACCATTACAGACCAGCCTGTGTCATGAGGACTCAGAAGTCCCACGGCCGGATGTCAGCCACACCTTCCCGCCAGCGCTTGCCACGTTTCAGTCTTCACACCAGGAGAAAGAAAGAAGGTGTAATCCAGGGAAAGCTGCGTATCCGTTCCATGCCAGGTGCCTTTCTGGTGTTTGGGGTAGTGGTTGTTGTTGTTGGCACCATTCTTGCCGTGGCAGGCTACTGGCCGTACAGGGCCCATCGATCATCAGTGGACACGACAGAGGAAGGTTCCTCTGGAAGCGCATCAGGATGGGGATTAGGGTCCAAAGGACTGATTTCCGCAGCAAGTCTGGTTCATAGCGAAAGGATGAAACTATTAGGACCTGTCATTATGGGAGTGGGACTCTTCATACTTATTTGTGCCAATACGGTACTCTATGAGAATCGGGATAGGGAAACTCAAATGCTTCTGGCGCAGATGCGGAGCGTCATTTGCTCTGTTTCTGCAGCCGTGCCCTCTGCAGACCTCTT